GAGGAGATCGTGACGATCTGGAGGTCCTACAAGAAGCGCAAGCCCCACAGCAACGCTTCTCTCCCGCCTGCAGGAAAGCAGCAGAACAAGGCCAAGGAGGCAGAGGTGATGGAAGTAGAAGACATAGAGCAGGATGATGATGATGCATGTGATGGTGATGATGATGGGTTTGATGAGTAGACGAGAGTAGATAGGATAGGATCTATATAGCTACTAGCTAGTTAGTTTGACTCTTAATTGTTATGTGCTAGTAGTATGTATGTAGGCCAGCCGTAGTACAAGAACATCTTCAGACTTAGGTATGTGGTAGACTCTGATTACTTCAGACTTTTTTTTGAGAACTCTATGAAGTTTCAACCTTTTTTTCCAACGTACTCTGACCAAATCAGACTAACACAGTGTACTAACTCTGACCAATCAGACAGGCAAAAAACGAATCTGAGGGCCTGCTCATGAGCTAATGGTACCCCCATCAACTGCAGAACACTTGTGGTACTTGAGACCCTGGCTTTAATGTCATTGAATGTCTCGAGCTGAGCACATCCCCGACATGTGCCTATAGCCATCTGGACGGATGTGCCAGCAGAACAAGGCCCTGATGTTTGAACAAGATACCGTATGAGAATTGAGTGGAAAGGTGACGGCCTCATTTGAAGGATACGTGGAATCCTTTGCACTGGATGTGATATGGGCGGGTCACGTTTAAAGCTCAAGGCCCAAATTGCGGACCGTGCGGGTCATGTTAGTAATTTTGAGGGGTTGGGGTTCGGAAACTTGAGAACCCACAGCCTTGCAATATGGGACTTCGGAAACCAAACGCGAAGCCCCCCCTTTGAAATCGTAGCGAGGGTTTGGGCGAAAGTGTAACACCCCTCGCTCACAACACCCGCGCAACTTTTGTGAGCACCTCCTCAAAGCCTAGCAGTCAACCTTACCGGTAGTAAGGTTGAACAATTTGGGCCTAGAGCTTTAAAGGAACCTGGTTCCTTGCGGTCAAGTACGTTAAAATGCGATTAACGCGGTTCGCATCGGTGAAACTAAGAATTGTCTTCAACCCGTTTCTAATGCACTGGACCGCATTAAACTAACCAAATACCCGTGACCCGCCCTTAATCTGCTAGTAGCGTTTTCAATTTGCGAGTTGACGAAGCGGGTAACACTTCTCCAGCTCGAACAGAGGGTTCTGTTCAAATTTCAAGGTGACGCGCCCCAATTCTTGCTTTCCTGGTCGTTTGTTCGCTCGTGTGATTTGAAGCAGAGCAAGAAAGAAGCGAGTGTTTGCTAGGAAGGAACAGAGACGATTACCGCACACGTCCACAGGAAAGAAAAGGCAAAACGAAAGGTTGGAGTGCACAATTTGCCTGCTGCCATCATGATCATGACTCGACGGTCATGTTGGCTGCCGAGGGTCACGCAAAGTTGCGAACTTACCCGCGAAGGAGGAGCCCTCGCCGCATCACACGCGCTGCAGCAGACACGACACTTGCTGCGGCTTATCGACTTACTGTACCATTTTCCACACGACTCTCGTACGTACTAGGCGCCATCGTTATGCTTCTCGTTCACAGGATTGGGTGACAATCGAAATTCCCGCAACAACAGTGCACGGAGCTCGTGTTTAGGGCTGCCACGTATGTGAAGATATTTCTGGAGCACGTGATCAGCGTTGCTGGTGCTGGACCCAAATATCTGCACTTTTGCTGTCGGAGCCCCAAGGCTGGGGTATGTATAACAGGGGGGTTGCTGTGATGTGAACGCCATCTCGTATTGCTTTGTCAGCAGTGGCAAGTCAAGTCAAGTCTCATCTCAATCGCTTTCCCATCCCATATGGGTCGACGTGAGCAGCGTCGTCCGACGACAACCGCACTGGTCGTCGTCGTCGCCCGAACGTTGGGCGGCGCTGAGTCATGGCGAACGTTGGGTCGCGCGTCACACGCGAGGCCTCCTCTTTGTTGGCAAACATTGTGAGATCAACATGATGGTGCAGCTGTGATCCACCATTTCGTACTCCGCCACTTCTATCGTCCCCGCAAGAAGACTAGTCGCTTATGGCAGGCGTTGCAGGTGTATCTCGAAACACGGAGACGTTCAAGTCGAGTCGAATTTCAAGACGCTGAAAATCTCTCTCGTCGTGTGGATTCTGTGTCCGCCGAGGCGTTTCGCACAGCCAAGTTTCGACTGGAAATTACAAATCTTGGAAACGAAGGCTCAGCCTTCCCCAGGCGGCCCGAGCAAACCAGCAGTCGTGACAGCTGCTTCGAGAGTTCTCATAAAGTGACACAACCGGCGGCGAGGCCGTGACTCCACCGTGGCCGCTGCATCAGCCGTCTGCACGAGTCCTTCACCCTCACCACTCCTCCACTGCAGTCGTTGCACAGCTTTGCACGTCTTGCCCTCCTTTCTTTCCGTCCGGAGAGTGATGGGCGAGCGAGACCGGCGCAGCTTCTCCTTCCCCCCGCTGCTGCTGCGACACCTCCCGCTGCCGCTACCGCTGCTGCTGCTGGCGGGGCTGCTTCTGCTGCCGCCGTGCCCTGCTGCCGCCACTCGCATCAACGACGCTCAAGGTCGCTCGCTCCTCCCCCTACTACTACCTGCACCTCTCCTCGCCCCTCACTTTCCCCGCCGTACCTCACTCTACACCACTCTACCAAACTCCCCCCTTCCCCCTTCCTCCCTGAGGGAGTCCGTCCTGCCTCACCCCTCTCTGCTCCTCCTCTGCCCTCTTCGGCCTTACCTCCCCCTTCCCTCCCCCCCACCCTTCCCCCTGCCTGTTCCCTTCCTCCCCCGTTCCCCACGAGCCCCTGGCAGCGCGGGTGCTGGAGGAGTGCGCTGAAGCATGGGGCTCTTACTCGTGGGGCTATGGTGCAAACGTCTTCCCGCCGCCTGAGTGGCGGGTGGGGGGCGACTGTGACACGGCGGATTTAATTAAGTGCGATGCCAACGGGCTCATCATTGAAATGTGGATCAACAACTCGCCCATCCCTGATTCGCCATATGGCGGGTAGGACGGAGAAGATGCAGGGAGAGGAGGGAGGGAGGGAGGGAGGGAGGGAGGGAGGGAGGGAGGGAGGAGGGAGGGAGGGAGGGAGGGAGGGAGGGAGGGAGGGAGGGAGGGAGGGAGGGAGGGAGGGAGGGAGGGAGGGAGGGAGGGAGGGAGGGAGGGAGGGAGGGAGGGAGGGAGGGAGGGAGGGAGGAGGGAGGGAGGGAGGGAGGGAGGGAGGGAGGGAGGGAGGGAGGGAGGGAGGGAGGGAGGGAGGGAGGGAGGAGGGAGGGAGGGAGGGGAGGGAGGGAGGGAGGGAGGGAGGGAGGGAGGGAGGGAGGGAGGGAGGGAGGGAGGGAGGGAGGGAGGGAGGGAGGGAGGGAGGGAGGGAGGGAGGGAGGAGGGAGGGAGGAGGGAGGGAGGGAGGGAGGAGGGAGGGAGGGAGGGAGGGAGGGAGGGAGGAGGGAGGGAGGGAGGGAGGGAGGGAGGGAGGGAGGGAGGGAGGGAGGGAGGGAGGGAGGGAGGGAGGGAGGGAGGGAGGGAGGGAGGGAGGGAGGGAGGGAGGGAGGGAGGGAGGGAGGAGAGGGAGGAGGGAGGGAGGGAGGGAGGGAGGGAGGGAGGGAGGGAGGGAGGGAGGGAGGGAGGGAGGGAGGGAGGGAGGGAGGGAGGGAGGGAGGGAGGGAGGGAGGGAGGGAGGGAGGGAGGGAGGGAGGGAGGGAGGGAGGGAGGGAGGGAGGGAGGGAGGGAGGGAGGGAGGGAGGGAGGGAGGGAGGGAGGGAGGGAGGGAGGGAGGGAGGGAGGGAGGGAGGGAGGGAGGGAGGGAGGGAGGGGGGGGGGGGGGGGAGGGGAGATCTTCAGTGTGCCACAATGGCCTCTGACATTTCGTCAGTGTGCTGTAGCTGTGCTTCACTCTTCTGCTGCTTCTGTGCCTGTTCGTGTGTGCGTGTGTGTGTGTGCGCGTGTGTGTGTGTGTGTGTGTGTGTGTGTGTGTGTGTGTGTGTGCTTGCTTGTGTGTGTGCATGTGTGCTTGTGTGCACTCAACACAACAGGTGGTTTGAGTTGCCACAATTAACTGGATCCATCCCAACATCACTTGGCACTCTCATCTCTCTCACACACCTGTACATCTCGCAGCTTTCTAAACGCCCTTCAGCTGTCTGTACACTTCCCCCACCACTCTGTACACTTTCTTGTGTGTGTGCCCTTTCTTGTCCAGCAGTAGCCCTTTCCAGCAGTAGCCCTTTCCAGGCACTCCTCATCCATCTCCCCCGAAACACCTTTGGGGGACGAAACACTCAGACGGTAAAATGGGTACCTCTTCATCCGTCTCTCTATCTATCGTGTCTCACTCACCCCATTCTCCATCCCTTCATTCGTCATGCCTCACCCCTTCTCTGCTGTGCTGCGACCTATGCTGCGACCCTTTTCAGGCTCCTCACCAGCGGTATTCCTCCCTGCCTCTGCCCTCCGTACTCCGTCCCCGCTAATTGCCCCATCCCACACCCTCTGTGCTGTCATCCTTTGTGTGCATCCACATCCTCCCTAGCCGTATCCACCCCTTCGCCCATTCTCACCGTCTGTTTCTTTGCTTCTCACTTTCTGTGTGCTGTGCTGCAACCCGCGCAGAAATCTGCGGCACAACGATCTAGAGGGCCCCATCCCGGCATCCTTCAGCATGCTCACCTCTCTCGTCTACCTGTAAGAGGCAGGCAGGCAAGGGTGGGCAATGCAGTATTGGTAGTGCAGTATCGGGCTGGTAACGCATCTGGCTGTGCAGCATTTGCCAGCACAACATTGAGCAACGCAGCAGTGTGCACACATTACTGGGCATGGCAGTATTTGGTCACGCAGCATTGGCAGTGCAACGTTGCGCAACGAAGCATCATTCAGCGTGGCATTAGGCAACCCATTGTTGGTCGCAATGCTGCATTGAGCAACACGGCAGTGGGTGGGCACCGCAGCATTGGGAAGTGCAAAACTGGATAGCAGCATTGGGCAGAGCAGCATTGGGCAGAGCAGCATGGGGCAGAGCAGCATTGGGCAGAGCAGCATTGGGCAGAGCAGCATCGTCTCATGCCAATTCTCCACGCCCGTCCACCTCCCATGGCCCGCATGTCCCCGTCGCAGCGATCTCTCTGAGAATCAGCTGTCTGGCGCCATTCCACCTGGCATAGGCGCCCTCACGGCTCTCCGAGAGCTGTGAGTGTGCCAGCCATGGGGACCAAGCAACCATGCCTCACTCCCGTGCCATGCCTCACTTCCATGCTGTCATGTCACCATACCCCCCACCCCACGTGCCATGCCAACGTCCCAATCACTCTCCATCTCCCCTGGCCCGTATGCTCCCTGTCACAGGGGTCTCTCCGACAACCAGCTGTCTGGTGATATTCCCCTCGCCATAGGCGCCCTCACATCCCTTTCGTACCTGTGAGTGTGCCAGTCATTGGCCTCCAAGCAAGCATTCATCACCAAGCAACTCATGCCTCACTCACTCCCATGCCATGCCTCACTCCCATGCCATGCCTCACTCCCATGCCATGTCTCACTCCCATGCTCTCACCATACCCCCCACGTGCTAACGTCCCAATCACTCCCCATCTCCCCTGGCCTGCATGTCCCTCGCCGCAGCCTTCTCTACAACAACCAGCTGTCTGGTGCCATTCCCCCTGCCATAGGCGCCCTCACAGACCTTTGGTACCTGTGAGTGTGCCAGTCATTGGTGTCAGAACTTGAGCTTAGAATCGATACTATAGTAGTGAGCTCAAAGCTCTTTAAGTACATCCGGAATGAGCAAGGTAGGGATGAGGAGGGAATCAGGAGGCAATCCTAGGGAATCAAGGGTAATCCCAAGCCAATCTCCAATTGGTGGGTTGGAGATTGCTTGGAGATTACATTTGGGTTTGGTTGGGATGTGGGTGTACACCCAACCAAACACAAAGTGCAAACTACACTAAACTAGGATATAAAAGTACAAGTACAAAATGTGAGATTGGGGCCTAACACCAACACCCCCCCTGAGGCGTCAATCGAACTCATGGCGGAGAAGGAGGAGCGCAGAGCCCCATGGCGCCAAGGAGACGATGGTGGGGAACCTTCCCAAGGGGCTTGGTGAACAGGTCAGCCAGGTTGCAGTCAGATGCCACGTATTCCACCTTCAGCTGCTCTTGTTGCACAAGGTGACGAATGAAGAAGTGCCGAAGTTCAATATGCTTGGTGCGGGTGTGATACACAGGGTCTTGAGAGATGTGGATGGTACTCTGGTTGTCACACCAGAGGGTGGGGGCTGACTGAGGGAAGCCAAGCTCCTGGAGTAGGAAGGTGAGCCAACGGGCCTCCTGAGCAGCCATGGTGCCTGCGTAGAGCTCCCCCTCACAGGAGGAGAGGGAGACTGCAGACGACCTGGTGGAGCGCCAACTGACAGTTCCGCTCCCGAGGGTGAAGCAGTACCCCTGAGAGGAGCGCCGGTCGGTCTGGTCATCAGCCCAGGAGGAGTCTGTGTAACCTTCCAGGCGAGGAGGGGAGAGCCCACCGAGTGTGAGAACGTGGGACTTTGTGCCCTTAAGATAGCGCAGCACCCGCTTTGCTGCCTTCCAATGAAGATTAGTGAAGCGACCCGGGGCCACGTAACGAGAGAGAACACTGACTGGGTAGGCCAAGTCCGGTCGGGTGCACATCATGGCGTACATGAGGGACCCAACAAGTTCCGGGTATGGCTCATAGCAGGCCTCTGGTGTGGGTACAGCAGGAGCTGTAAGGAGGTGTTGCAGCGGCAGCGGGGTGGCAACAGGTGTGCACAGCTCCATCTCAAACCGCTTGAGCACATTGTCGATGTAGAACTCCTGGGAGAGTGAGATGGTGCGAGCCTTGCGATCACGAGTGATCTCCATTCCTAGGTAGTGCTTGAGGTCACCAAGGTCTTTCATCTGGAGGGCCTTGCTCAGAGCTGCCTGGACTGAGGTCATTTGGGCCGAGTCCTTGGCAACGAGGATAAAATCATCCACGTAGACTAGGATGTAGAATGGCTCAGAATGACGACGGATGAAGAGAGTCGGGTCAGCAGTTGAGGGGTGGAAGTCCAGGGAGAGGAGGACTTCTTTCACCTTGTTGTGCCATTCGCGAGGGGCTTGTTTAAGGCCGTAGACGGGGCGATTCAGCTTCCAGACAGTGTTGGGAGGGAATTCTCCTGGGAAGCCTTCTGGTCTGTCCATGAACACTGTCTCCTTGAGGCGTCCTTGTAGGAAAGCGGAGGAGGCATCCATGGATTTGATCTCAAAGTCTTCTCGAGCTGCAACATCCATGAGCGTTCGAATGGTGGGAGGTTTGGATGTGGGGGAGAAGATTAGGTCGAAGTCGCGGTACCGCTGCTGGGTGAAGCCCTTGGCTACGTAACGCGCTTTGAACACCGGTGCCTCGTCTGGGAGCTGTTTTACACGGAACAACCACTTGCCCCCGACGATGTTGACTCCTGGAGGTGGAGTCTCGTCATCGAAAGAGTGGTTGCGACGTGAATGCTGCAATCTCCGCGTCCATGGCAGCACGCCATTCGGCAGCATGATGGCCTGAGAGAGCCTCTTGGACGGTGAGAGGGATAGGGATGGTCGGGTTCTCCGCGAGGTTGAGGGAGGGTGAGCCAGTGATATCGGGGAAGATGTGTGAGAGCTGAGGAATGACTGCATGGAGATCACACAGCTCCTCATGCCTGTCTTCTAGAAGGGTAGAGGGCACATCCCCCCCAGCAGGAGGAGGCGGTGTGATCATTGTGTATCGAAGAACCATTGCGAGTGGAAGAGCAGCGCGATGGGAGCGGGTGCCATGAGCCACCGGTGAGGAGGGCGGGGCAGGCGGTGTCGGAGAGGGTGACTTAGGAGGCTTGGGTGGGGGAATGGGCCGCCGGCGGTACGTGATCAGCTCGGGCGACTGTGGGAGAGCGGGTTCCTCTGTGGTGGGGGGAACTGGGGGAGGAGGTGGGGCCGGAGGGTGGGACCGCCGATGGTAGGTGATAGGTGCGCTCGGAGGGGGCGGCGCAGCGGGAAGTGAGGAAGGTGAGGGGGGGGCGGAGCAGCCGCCGAAGATACCGGTGAGGCCGGGTCAGAGACCTCAGAGGGAGATGGTGGGATGGCAGGAGAGGGAGGAGGTGAGGGGGCAGGAGCAGGCGGGAGGTCGGGAGGCGCGTCAAAGTCTGCCCAAACGAGGGAGGGTGGATCAGGGAGAGGGTCCCGTCCCGAAGGGGAGTAGAATGGGCGGGTCTCATCAAAGACAACGTCGCGGCTCCTGACCAACTGTTGAGTGGAGGGATTGAGGAAGAGGTAGTCAGGTGAGTCGGCGTTGTGCCCAAGGTAGATGCACGTCTGAGTCTTGGGACCGAGCTTGCCACCGTTCCGGCGTCGAGCCTGAGGGTTGAGGAGGACATAGGCGGTGCATCCCCAAACGCGAAGAGAGCGAGCAGTGGGCGTTTTCCCGAGCCAGAGTGTGGTTGGAGTGGTGTCGGGAAGGTGCGGATGGGGGTAAAGGTTGTAGAGGAGGGCGGCGTGGTAGAGAGCGTATCCCCAGAGAGAGTGTGGAGCGTTGGAGTGGCTGAGGAGGCACCGAGTGATCTGCACTAGAGTGTGGTTGCGGCTCTCAGCTATGCCGTTCTGTTGAGGGCTGTCAGGGAGGGTGAAGTTTTGCTGGATGCCTTCGGAGGAGCAGAAGGCTTTAAGCTTGTCGTTGCAAAATTCACCCCCCCCATCCGAGTGAAGGCGCTTGACCTTGCGGTCAAAGGTGGTCTGTGCCTGCTTGACCCACGCCATGATGACCTCTGGAGCCTCAGCCTTAGTGTGGAGGAGGTGAACAGAGACGTATCGTGAGTGGTCATCCACGATAACTAGGAAGTAGCGATATCCACCTCGTGCAAGAACAGGGGCAGGGCCCCAGACGTCCATGTGCACTAGGTCCAGTGGTGCCGCTGCGATTGTGGGTGAGGCAGTGTGGGGCTGTTGGCGCAGTTTGCTCTTGGTGCAATCAAGGCACGTGGGAGCGGGTGAGTCAGGTGGTGGAGGAAGTGTGGCTGGCAGGCCGAGAAGAAGTTTCTTGGAGGCCATGTCAGCAAGCGTGCGGAAGTTTGGGTGCCCTAACCGATGATGATAGAGGATGGTCGGGTTGGAGAGGCTGCGACATGTGCATGGTGTGATGGGAGCATGTGCTTGGGTGGTTGAAACCTGTGGGAGAGGAACGCGTAGCGTGTAGAGGCCGCTGCTATTGAGGGTGAAGCGGGCCAAGACCTTGTTGGTGAGTGGGTCAATGATGTCGCAGTGGTCCTCATTCTCCGAGAAGATGGTGCGTAGCCCTGCTTTCTGAATTTCTGTTTGAGCCACTAGATTGTGGCGTAGTGAAGGCACGCACATGCCAGTGACGGTGCCGGAAGGGAAGGCTGGGCATGGGACTGTGGAGGTGCCCTTGGCTAGGGTGGTGAAGCTGGAGTCAGCTCCCAAGAGAGGGATAGGTGCTGGATAGGGTTTGAAGGAGAGTGTCTCCTTGAGCACAGTGTGAGTGGCCCCACTGTCGAGTGTGAACTCTATGTACTGTGGTGCCTGTGATGAGTCGATGTACTGGGAAGTGGCTTCATTAATCATGGCAGTGCCAGGAAACAACAGGTTGATACGCACATCAACAGGAGCACTGTCACTAGCACTAGCCGAAGAGGGGTCCTGGACCTCAACGAGATTGGCCTTACGAGCGCGCATCCAGTTTGGCGGCTTCTTGTCAACCCCGTGGATGGCATACCACTCGTCGTCTTTCTTCTTGAAGCACGTGGCAAGGGGGTGGTTAGTGCCACCACACACTTGTCCCTTGCGGTTGCCATACTTGACGACGTAGGTGCACGGAGGAAAGCGGTTGCGCTGGAAAGGCGCCGAGGCAAGGGCCGCTGCAACACTTGCTAGGGGCATGGGAGCACGGATGGCGTGTGCCTTGGCCTGAGCAGTGGAGTCTTTCTCGGCAGAGAGGAGTGCGGTGGAGACCTTAGCAAAGGTGAGGTCTTCCGCTGAGAGCGTGAGGAGCATCTTCCTCGTGACTTCATATGCCGAGGAGAGACCAACAAGAAGGGCGGCTGCAGGGGCTTGTTCGGGGAAGACTATACCCAGCTCCTTGAGTTCACCATGAATGGTCTGCACCTTGGCGATGTAGTCAGCCATTCCTGAGCAGTCCTCAAGGCGGACTTGAAACATGCTGGGGATGAGAATCGCCACTCCGACCGCCGTCTTGTTCATGAACCGATCCTGGAGATACTTCCAGATGGCGTTGGAGGTAGGATAGTTGTGGAACGTGTTGACAAGTTCGGGAGGGGTGGAGGCAATGAAGACGCTGATGATGGCAGCATCGGCCTTCTCCCACTTCCGGTACTTCTCAACAACTTCTTCGTACGTCATCACGTCAGCATCACTTGAAGATTCG